CATTCACTCTAATTTTCCTCTGTGAAAATTTAAGCTGCTTTTTTGAGCAATGTCATGCTTCTTTGACAACTTTGTGGAGGGAAGTTTGCCTGTAAATGCCTTGCAGTAATTTTGTTCATCCTCTTCCGTTACCCTGAGGCTTTGCTGGTGTTCTGTTCTGAGTATCATCGAATATTGCAACCCCCGCCCCCGCTCCATCTTGAGATTTCCTTAGAGCAAAAGAACAGATTCAGTCAGAGCAGGTTCTTCTAAACAAATGCCAAGTTCATAAGAAAAATAGTTGATGTGTTCAAACAAAAGTACAAAATGGCCATTAGTAGTTTTCTCTGAATTTCTGCATTAATAAATATAAGGAAAATGTTTCATTTGGGCACTTAATGAGCACTGCTGGATCAGTGGCAGCACCTGTGGTTATAGGAAAGATAGGGAGGGTCTTAAGAGGGGCTTTCCAGAAGGAAGCACTTACAGTGCAGACAAGAAAAGGCAAGTACAATTAAAACTGGTGGCACCCACTGGAATCCCTACAAATCCTAAAAGAAAATGGTAGCAATAGAGCCTATCAGGAAGCTACATTAATTTTTGGAAGCTTGTGCAATGCCATGAAATGGCTCATATGTGCTCACTAAAGAGAGCAACTAAGGCAAGAGAAAAATAGAAATGGAGCACTGCATTGGCAGGTAACTGAGAGAAGTTCTGTGGATCTCCTTGTGGGAGTTAGGATGCCATGACCACTACACATAAGCCAGGACAGTTAAGGAATCGCTAGACTCAAAGCCGGTTTACAGAAAGCACTGGGCAAGAGTGAGGGTGAGCAAATCTTTTCCAGTAGGTCAGGTAAGTATTCAAAGTTTTATGGGCCTTGGCGTCTCCATCAAAGCTGCACAATTCAACTCTAATAGCTTGAAAGGCAGCATAGGCAGTAACGATTGAATATGTATCATTTTGCTTAAAAATATTTAGTTTACAGGGCAGGTGAGAGCCTGGGCTTCACCCTCCTCCTCCTCACACCTATAGTGCTAACTACAGCTGAAAACCAACCCTAAAATATGAAGGGAGAATGGAAATACCAATTTTTGTTGCTTTCCCTTCCCTGATCATTCGTTCTCTTTATCTTAGGACCCTCACAGGTGCTCTAAACCAGAAAGAATTTGGTAGATGTTTACAATCTAAACAAGGATACCTGGTATTAATATATCATAATCTGGCCTCTGAAGCAAGAATTTACAGCATTTGAAGGCTAACGCACTGAAATGGTGGGGTGCCCATAGATTCCTTTTGTTTTGCTCTACAGACCTCTCCTCCCTAAACATTGACCATTTGTTCTCTGAATCAAATGATCTTCCAATTTGCTCCTCGTTTGGGGTTGAATATGTACCACATCCGAGACGTCTGCCAAGTCAGTGTCATGTCTAAGTATCAGAGCACATTTCTCCTCCAAACTGTGTAAATCCATGATCGAAATATTGAATGGCATGAAACAAGCCTTCACATACTCATGCATGAACTTTATTTTAAACTAGGTCAGACTTCCCAGTTGGTACCATAGAAAATGGTTGAAGTCACTTCTCCTTTTTGCCCAACTGCGATTTTGCTTGACAGAATTTTGTGTAGAAAGTGCTGTGGCACAGGATTAGATCTCCTTAATAATAGAACTTTACAATGGAATTAGAAATAAACCCTAAATGTCAGTAGTGTGTGTATAAATGTATCTCCGGGTAAACACTGGAGTGACGTATTTCATGTTAATTGACTGGTTTTATGCTTAAGTGACCTGGGAAGGGATGTGACTAGAGAAGTGATGTCATTCATCACATTTTACATTGTAGAGAGCAAAGTGTCAGTACTTCATTTTCTTAATTTATAACTTTGATGGGTAAACTCTCTTTACTGTATAATAAAAAAAGTTTCATATTCCTAATAGTCACATAGCATTGTTAATAGAAAGCCCACTGGCCAAGTTGCTTTAGTGTAATGTGCTTATGATTTACTCAAGAGGTTGTGAAGGATTTTGTAAAGTCTAGCTTGTTTGAGTATATAAAATTATCATTTTTATTACAGCTTTTTATTTATCATAGTATATACAATGACCTCGAAAAACCCCAGAGAATGCTGAATTGATGTATATTTTACTTTGCTATATACAATTAACATTTATTGCAAATGCAAATATTTATGAGATGTAAACTCTAATAATATTAAAGGAGATATATTTTACTTTATTCAGAATGCAATAAATCACAGAATTCTCAAGTGTTTCCAATCATAATAATTCCTTATATATTTTAGCATAGGCCTGCAGGCAGTAAATGAAAAGGTTGTGCAGATTTTCTCTCTAATATATAAAAGTTTGCTTCATTCTATCTTGTAGAAAAAGTCTATAATCGAAGTTAGGTGCTACAAATTTCTGTGTAGTTCTCCTAACATCATATCTTCATTCATGTAGATTTGATTCCTTGCCATAAGACTTTGGGTGGGTGGGGATTTGAGACAGGGTCTCACTATGAAGTTGAGACTGAACTAGAACTCACTATGTAGCCCCGGCTGGTCTCCAGCTCACAGGGATCCTCCTACCTCAGCCTCCCAAGTGCTGGGATCACAGGCGTGCGACACCATCCCCGGCTGCCATAAGTCTTTAAGGTTCCAAATTTCTGTTAAAATCACTGATATGTGGGAGGTTGTAGAGTGATGTCTCTTTTGCAGTACTCAACCCTCCCCCATTATACTGATCTTACAACTACATTGTTTAAAATCTGATCTTACAATCACATCGTTTAAAATCCAATTCTTCAGGCTTTCCAAATATAGACTTTCTCCCCCCACCCCTTTTTTTATTCCTTGTCACTTCCTTTTGTTTGGAAATTTAACTTAAAGCCCTTAGAACTATATCTGACATATTATAAATTCTGTATTGCTGTTAGTTATTTTTCAGTGTTGTTAAAACAGAGTGCTTGGATTAGCATAGAGGCATTGAGAGTTGGCTGGGATGCCCCCATCTGCAGCGCTCTTGCCCTATCCTTCACAGCTTCTCAAGGTAACCCACGCCCTATGGCTCTTACTGACAGGAAGCAACTCCATCCTGTTGTCTTTTTCTGTCAGTTCTGTCACCTCCTTCTCTGAATGTCTTGTGTCCCTTTTCCTTGTAAGACTTGGTTACATTGGGACCATTTGGATTTGCAGCAAGATTCTTAACTTCATCACCTTGCATAATCCCTTTGCCACATGTACATTGCTTAATTCCCTATTATCTTTAGAAGAAATTACTATAAACTTAGTAACTGATAACAGCACAAATGTATTCTCTTATAGTTATGGAGGGCCGCAATGCAAAAATTACTTTCCTTGAACTAAAAAACCAAAATGTAGGCAGCACTTTTTCCATCTGGAGATTCAAAGGGAGAATCAGATACCAGTGTGAAATAGTCCTTTAAATATGCCTGTTTACATAGATTCCTGAAAGAAGAATGTTTGAGTTCTAATAGCTACAGAAACAGCAACTTCTTTCCACTTGTCTTTCAAATTATGCAGGGAGGTTTGGGTGTCTGCTCTTTAAGCCCCTAGAGATGAAATCTCATCTTGGGGTGAGAAAAGAGAATTATCTGGATGGAAATTGAAGAGTGGAACAGTTTCTCCCTGAAAAGAAAACCAGTAAAGGTGGACATTTCCTACAGATCCAAGGGAGGGACAGTTCCCGGCAGTTTTACTGGTACTTAATTTCAGCAGCCTCCTGTCAGTTCAGGTTCCTGAGAAGCAGATATCATGATAGATTAAAGGATCAGACTTCCAAAGATTACAAGGGAAGTACTTGTGAAGGATAAGGGAGAGGGCACAGAAACAGCAGAGGGATCCTGAGAATGGTATTCAGAGTTCTGAGGCTCCATATCTGTGAACAATAAAAGGGAACTTGGAAAGAGAAATGTCCGCCTGAAGGTCGGTTCTGAGACTGTTTTGATCGATATGATGGGGAGTCTCCAAGCTCAAGTTGCCTGTTCGAGAAATCCTGCACTGGGCAGGTATGTGCCAGTATCAGCACTCACACTGAATTTTCATATAATTCACCATACAACATCAGATTTTACAACCTACCACAGACCTGATTAGACCTTTGTGGAATATTCTTTAGTAATAACATGATTTAAGAATCACTGTGAAGCTTTGGGCTTGGTGGTGTACACCTGTCATTCTGGTACTCTGGGAGGCTGAGGCAGGAAGATTGCAATTTTGATCCCAACCAGCCAATTTAGTGACTTAGCAAAACATTGTCCCCCCCCCAAAAAAAAAGTAAGAATGGGAATGTAACTCAATGCAAAAGCTCTGGGTACAATCCCCAGTACTAGAAAAGAAATCAGTTTGAAGTTAAAAAGTAATGTTTCTGAACGACTCGCAGCTAGCTTGCAGAACAGTAGAATATTATTTAGCCCTCACTATCTCAAATAAAGGGAACGATAACTCTCTCAGAGAAATTTTGTTTACCTTGGCATTCCATTTCATGAAAATTATCATGGGGGACTTTATTCTCATAGTTGCTGTAAGAGCAGCCTGAGGAAAGACCCAGGGGCAAGAGAGAAGAGGGTTTCGCAGGTACCAGGCCTTGGATCAGTGCCTTAATCATGAAGGGATTCATATGCAAGTTAAACAATTCTGTATTATTGCTCAGAAGTCAAGGAATTGTGCACAGTGTGCTCTCAGGAATTGCTGTGAATAGACTGATGAATTTGAAATATCATTGAATATGTGATATGAAGATAAAAATACAAAGGGAGCGAGACCTGAGCCTCAGGGGCCTGAGAGGTAGCATCTGGAGCAGGAATGATGATGAAAGTAACAGCGTTGCTCTCCATAATAACAATGAATGAGGAGCCTCACCATCTAACCGCTTCTGTTCATGACCTGCAACAAAATAATGAGAACTCCTTTGAAGCAAAGGTAATTGTGTTTATTGCTAATCTTCTGTGGCAAGCTTTAACAATGGAATTTCTTTCTATCTTCACAAATTTGGTTAGAACTGTCTTATGCTTGGATCTTCAATGAATATCCGTCATTTGTTGAAGAAGATAGTCGGAGATTTGTCTCTCAGGAGACAGGGCACCTCTACATAGCTAAAGTGGAACCGTCTGATGTGGGAAATTATACATGTGTGGTTATGAGTATGGTGACAAATGCCAGAGTCCTGGGCTCTCCAACTCCTTTGGTGCTGCGTTCTGATGGTATGAATTGTTTTAAAGTATGATTCTGGGTACAAACTGTGTTGTGACTTCAGGAAAAACCCATTGAACAATATATGTGGAAGAACTGTCCCTTACATTCTTTCTTCATCAGACAATAAGAAGGGGGGAGGAGTGAAGGGAGATAGTAGAAGGAATGAATCCAACCAAAACATATCATGCACGTTGAAACTCACCTCCCAGTAAATGTAAAACTAGGGGCAGCGTGGAACATGAGGGTGATGAGGACAAATGTAAGCATTATGTACTGCAAACATGTACTCATGAAAAATTTAAGAATGAATCTGTAAGCCATACTCTATTCAGGACCACCTTTATAATTTGCAGAAACCAATGCAAAATGGAGACAAAGACTCAGTCCCTTGTTCAAAAATGACTAAGAATTTCAAGTCTTTGAGATAAGCATGACATCCTGGAGCATTCACAGAGCATTGTAACAGTCATGAGACCCTTCAGAGCCCGGGCCCATGCTGTATTTCTCTTACTCCGGTGAAGTCACCACTTCTGACTTTTGCCAGCTTGAGGCTTTGAAAGCTCTGAAAATTTTGTTATAGGCTAAAAAGCACCAGAACAAAAAACTAAAGGAAAAAGTTCTCTTTCATCAACACCTTGATAGCAAGCCTGAGTAGTTGACCCATTTAAAATAAACTGTACCTGATACAGCATAATGCCAGAACCACAAAGTATCAGAACATCTCTTTCTAGCCAGTTATAATTGACTCTGACCTTTCCCATGTATTAAGTCACTGTTAATAACTTTAAGATTGGTATCAATGCTACCAAGGTAACAATAAATAAATTAAGTAAATCCCCTAACGTATCTTTTGTTCCTTGGGAAATTGCAGGAAATCATAATATATTTCAGTTTAACTGAAATGTCCAAACAATACAGAATTTCAACAGTCTGCCATTTTATATAATATGAAAGACAGAGGTTTTAGTAGAAATATTCTGTACCAGAAAATTTAAGACTGCTTCAAAATCAGCAAATCCAAAACTCTTAAATGTTTATTAATGTTCAGATTTGATCCATTTTAGCATCTAGATTACTAGAAGCTGGTTCAAAATGCAGTGAATAGACTGGTATTGGGATGTAGATCTATAATTTCAGCACTCAGGAAGTTGAGGCAGGAAAACTGTGAGTTCAAGACCAACCTGGGCTATATAACAGGGTCTTGTCTCAGAAGAGACGAAAAATGCAGCAAAGAAAGTTTTAAGACACGAGGCAATTCCAGAGGAAACATTCACAGTATTAACTCTGTATTGTACATCACAGGTGTGATGGGTGAATATGAACCCAAAATAGAAGTTCAGTTTCCAGAAACTCTTCCGGCAGCTAAAGGTGCAACTGTGAAACTGGAGTGTTTTGCCCTTGGAAAGTAAGTTTTCTCATACTCACCTCGCTGTGCTCTAGCATCAGGTTGCTATAAAACAGCAGGGTGGGTTTTGACACACGTCCTCTCTTCACATATGCAGTGCAGTTTGGAGGAAGACAATTTGGAGAAAATGGCTCTACCTGACTAATTTCATAGAGTAAATTAGTGTTATTTTTCTTTTCCCTGTTCATCTGTTATGCTCCAGTATTGTGGAATGTATTAGGCTTCTTCTTGTTTTTTGTTTTTTGTTTCTTTTTTCTGTAAATCATGAATTGACTGAAGAAAATGCACAACATGTTTTATTAAAATATCAACTTAAAGATTTAAATATGCTAAAATATCAAGTTAAAGATGTAATCTTAACGTTGTTTTTATGTAATTGACAACTGGGGGTGTCACTCATTTACACCTCCACCTTATCTCTGTCTGGAGAAAGGCTTTGTCAAAGTTTACGTGCTTCCAGATAACAAACAATGTGACCTTCTTCCTCTTAGCCCTGTACCTCAGATTAATTGGAGAAGAAGTGATGGAATGCCGTTCCCGGCCAAGATCAAGTTGAGGAAGTTCAGTGGTGTGCTTGAGATCCCAGCCTTCCAGCAGGAGGATGCGGGGTCCTATGAATGCATCGCGGAGAATTCCCGAGGAAAGAATGTAGCCAGAGGGCGTCTCACGTACTATGGTGAGCATCCACTGTGGGCAGACAGATTCCGTACCTTTTGTTTCCCCATCTATAAAACACTGGCTTTGGGGATTGGGGGAGAGATTGTGGGAGAATTTCATTTATTTTACTTGTTTTATTCTCATTTTGTTCAATGAATATAAGCATTTATCCTAAAAGGGAGAAATCAAAAAGAAATAAAATTTGTAACAAAGTTAGAGATATATTCCTTTTGCATTTGAAAATGATGTATATTATAATGAAATATTTCATAGTTTTTTTCCAAGAGTAACCTTTCACTTGCTCATACATATTAGAGATCTTTTCTGTGTACCCTCTCTTCTAGGAAAGAAGGTTTTATAGCATTATTACCTTTACTAAGCAGGGAAAAAAACACCCCACAGGGAGAAGTTGCAATTTTTGCATAATCAAACTAAGTAATCTCAGGTTGAGTTATTCACTATTATTCTATTCCTTTCAATAATGTATCTGCACTCTATTTGCTGCCTTTAATTTGTAATCACATCTATTTGATGTATTGCTAAATTTGGATAAAGAATAATAATTTTACCTTCATTTTGAGTCTATAGAAGACTTATATTCCTTTATTCTTTTCAAAATTTGTTTTAAAATGCCTTTTACTTAAAAATAAACCACTAGGTTTTGATGAAAACATAATTTAGAAAGTATAAATACCTGATTTTACAAAGTGCACCTATAAAATGTATGAAAATGTAAGCTCAGTGAATATGTGTTTCCAGTTTGATCATTCAAAACATTGTGAAACTAGTGGGAAATCACCCATTTTGTGAAAGGCAAATCACATTATAGCCTATTTATTTTAGAAATTGGAAATTGGTACAGTTTGCAGTGCACTCTTTTAGCACACATAAATGATGCAGGGAGGAATATGTTTACAGAGACAATTATTAAAATAAAATAATAGGACCTATTATGAACCCTTTCAAAGGTGTGAGGTCCTCAAGTGCATCGTATCTGTCAAGATTAATTCTTGTTATGGTAATGTAAATTTTTAGGTTCTGTTAAGGGCAGAATGAACGGAGGTAAGGATTACTGGCATGAGTCAGTCTGTAAATCTCCTGTCTTGTGATATGATTTGTTTAGCATATGGGGAAGGGTCCCACTGGGGAAGTGCCCCAAAAAGCAAGGTCTGTGACTTGGTAGGAAGATATGGAAAAGATAATGGTGGCAGAGAAGAGGTAAGCACAGAACTCATATGTCTGTATAGCTCTGAGACCCCACAATGCAAGTAACATTGTTTTAGCCCCTAGTTTACTTCTTTCTGCAGCAGTTAATTTTGTACAAATTGAGCCATACATCAAATAAATGCGATTATATTCTTCCCTTAGTTGGATGAAATCCTGGAACAAAGACGAACTTACGAAAGTTTATATTGGAAATAATAATAAGAGAATTGTTCTTGGTTGATGCCCATCAGCAGGAGGTTCTGGAAGTGGAATTACCACCATACTTACTTTGTTTTGGGTTATATAGATAAGCAGAGCACAGGAGAGTTTGTAGAGTTTTTTTCTAAGATTAGTTAGTTGGTCAAATTCAAAGGAAACTTGTTATTTTGCATTTCTACAGTTCAGTCCTGAGATAGAACGAAACTGTCAACTACCTTAGCATCTTCTGCATAAGAACCTTCTTCCTAGAAGGAATGGTCTTTCTCTCTCCATTCCTATGCTAACCTTTTATCTTGTGGTTTTTTTTTTACATTTTTAAGTTTAACTAGCTGCATGACTTGATTTAGGTCTCTGTGTGTGCTATTTTCTTTTCATCCAGCCAACTCTATTTTAGGCTGTCCTTACTTACAGGCGAACTAACTAAAACAATCTATTATATGCTGGGGATTTAGCCCAGTAGTCCCAGTGCCTGCCTTGCAAGCGTAAGGTCCTGAGTTCGATCCCCGGTACCAATGAATCAATCAATAAAAAATAAACAGTCTATTATATTGCTACATTCCAATGTTTTTCTTCTAAGTATCCACTACCTAATCACTCCCAGAGTAAGAACACACAGTATATTCCAGCTTTCTTAATGCTTGAGTAGAATGGTTTCAACTGTATGTAGCACCATACCTGCATAAATAATAAGCAAGTCTATGCCTCATATGATGAAAATCTTAAATTAACCTAACTTTCAAGTACTTACTATCAGTCCATGACTGTTTTTAATTTTTTTGTTTCTGATCTTATGTATTATTTTTCCCTTTTCTACATATTACCACTATATATTTCCATTATAACATAAAATGACTGCCAGCAATGACTAGTACTTCAAGTGTTCTTCATTCTTCTTTGTCCAAAACTGTAGCATTCCTCTTCAACTCATATTGGCTATATTATCGAATACATACTAGTTACTAGAAAGGAGAAATTGGATTAGACAGCATAAAAAGCTTCCATTGCAACAGACTATATACAATCAAGTTTTCCTAGAATTTATGGATGCTGTGACGTGAAGTAAGACAAGATGACAGAATGAAAAACTAGAGTTATTGGAAGAATAAATATGAGAGGAAACTAATGCACAAAAGAAAATCAACAGTCTCTGCTATACTTAGTAAATGAGGTAGACTTTTGGTTTAGTCAATTTGGTAGGTAATACGATTTGCACCTAAGAAATAACTTGTATATTAATGACAGAGAGAGTTTCCTGACCTTGATGTATAAATTCTGTTTAAACTTAGTACATTCAGTACATTCCATATAGTTCTGTAGTTATCTGCCCTAATAGTCCATGTAAAAATGGTTCAAGAGAATATTTGAATCTTATATGACAGATGAAGAAGGAAACCATGATTAATGTTGCAGGTGTACTCTTACATTTGGCTTAGTTCACCAGAGTACCCTCCAATTTAGATAAGAAGATATTAGTATAGGCAGCTCATAGATATTTTTATTATAAACTCTGGTCTCTGTCAAAGTCACATATGTAAATGTATTTGGAGTTTCATTTAATCTTGGACTAATAATACCTTAAAGAGGAATATATGTTTTAATATAAAGCAGACAGAATTAACTTAGGAGTGAACTATACTTTGTACTGGACAAGTAGTTTTTAGTAAAACAAAACAAAACAAAAACAAAAGAAGGAAAGACTTCGACCTGTACATTTTCAGTAACAGCTAAATAGCCATAGTTCCATTTTCATTTCATTTTTTAAAAAAGCAATTTTATAAGATAGAAATGGAAAAAAAAATCCTCCCATAGTTACAATTAAATAGAAATAGATAAACTGTTTCTCCATATGGAGGATGCAAATGTGAATTCCACAGTACACATCACATGCATAATGCACTGTGAAACTGGTAAGACGTCTCACCTCCCAGTTTTGGATCTAAAACACAAGCTGAGCCTTGGCTGAATATACAGTGTATATTGAGTGCCTTTCATTGGAAGTGGAACATTGCTTTCATCTGCAAAAATAATTTTTAAGGTACCTCGTAAAACATAAATGAAAATGATTAATCTATTTGCTCCAACTGATTTGCATACATGATTTGAAGTTGCATCAGTTACTTCTTTTTCTGGTAAAAAAAATCATATGATTCAAATTAATCCAATTTATCCATTTTTGGCTGCTTTTTTTTTTATCTTAGAGGTTTGTAACATGCTCTCTGGTTTGTATTTAATTAAAAGTTATTTCTGACTTGAAGGAAATGCCTTTTTCCTTAGCTTTAGAAGCTTTTCTCCTGTGGATATTAATATTTAGTTCTTAATTAAGAGTAGTATTTACTGTCACTCAGTTATTGGATTGTCATCACTTGTGGCCTCATGATTCAAAACTACTTGGAGGAAAATCAATTTTGTTACCTTCATTGCTACCTATTAATAGATATCTGAGGGATATCACACAGTGCTCAAAATTTTGAACTGAAGACAGCACAATGAGTTTTGTTTAGGGCATGACAGATTGCAGTATCCATCTGCAAGTCTAGAGATCTTTCAAAGACCACTTAGTAAACACTGAACTAAATAGAATTCTAGCTCTCGGCTAACTTTAATCTATTACTTGCAGTTTATATTTATTTTTATTTACTTGAATAGATTATTTATTTTTGATTTGCTGGATTTTCTGAATTTCTTTTATATGTTCCCATTGCAGCAAAGCCTCATTGGGTTCAATTAATAAAAGATATGGAAATGGCTGTGGAGGACAGTCTTTACTGGGAATGCCGAGCGAGTGGGAAGCCCAAACCTTCCTACCGATGGTTGAAAAATGGAGAAGCCCTGGTGTTAGAGGTAAGGTAATGTGCTGGGTCAGTTTGCTTCCTTTGGTTCCTAGTACCAAAGTAAACAATTGAGTTTATACAGTATTATTTTCATCTAAGAAGTGCTACAAGATAATAACATAAAAATCCAGTATCCAGTCTGCCAGTAAGATCTTTTCAACATTTCATTTCATTGAGTAAAGGTGGTTTTATGAAGTTAGTTACAAAATAATATACTGTTTCTTGGTATTAAAAGTAGAAAAGGCTGTGCTTTAATAAAATATAGAAGGTATTTTCCTTTTCCTGTTTCACAACTTGGTAGCCTCTAGAGAATAAATATATATATTACTTGGTTGCCTTGTTTCATGAATAGTTATTTTCACAATGATTTTCCCTCTCAAGCCATGTAATTTTGAGTCTTTTTTTCTGTACTAAATCAATTATGTTCCTTTAAATTTCTATAGAGAACCATTCATACTTTCTGAAAACCCTTGCAAATAATGTATGTTTGACAGAACCTTTTTTAATGCACTGTATTGATAATGTATTCAACTTTCACAATTTTTAAAAATGTGCGTTGAAAATACCTCTAGTTGATGGGATGAAAATCTGGGATTTTTTTTAAATTGGAAATTTTAACCATACATAAAAAATTAAATGACTACCATTGCTTGCCTGCTGCTTTGATACTTGTCTCTTATATACTTTGGGGCTAAGCAGTATTTGTTCATAGTTCCAGTGAGTCTTTCAAATTTGAAAGAAACAAAGATTAAATTTCAGGTCAGACTGTTGCACACTCAGAGGAAAATGTAGAAGTTTTGTGTCTTTTTGAAGTGAAATTCAGATGTATTCAATTTTGTTCTAAGATGTGTATATGTGAGGCATTTTTTTTTTTATCGTCTAGGAGAGAATACAGATAGAAAATGGCGCTCTTACAATATCAAACCTAAATGTGACCGATTCTGGCATGTTCCAGTGCATAGCAGAAAACAAACATGGACTCATCTATTCCAGTGCTGAACTCAAGGTTGTTGGTAAGACTCATTTTCTCTGTTCACATTTTAACTTTCTTTGTAAATCTCCCATCGTTGCCAGAAGTCAACATATTTACTTTTCATGTTAGTTTCCAACATCTACAATATTAAAACATGATCATTCAGCATTTCTAATCAAGGCACACAGTTTAATTATTTATAAAGAGAAACATCAGTTGTATCCAGAATTAAGACCCAAAGATTGAAGTAAATTAACAGAAGAAAGAAAGTTCACCTAATATATCCTTATCCAGGTCCAATGTTAGGGACTAAGATTTGCCTCATAAAAGAATAAGTAATTTTGGTGTTTGCTGGCCCATGAAAGCAAATACCAATATTTGAATCTAGAATGCTTGATTCAAAAGGAGTTGCTTTTATCATTATTAACTCTATTAGAAGTGCCAAATACTGGTCATGCTGAAGCTTTAATTATCTCTATTACTTAAAATTATGAATTATTGTCTTATTCTTGAAACTTAGGCATAGGAGAAGAAAGAAAATATTCTATCATGTTTAGGGCAGTTGTCTTCAAGGACACCTACCTAAATTGCAAAAGATTGAAAATTCAACCACATTGTCGTAGCATTGCATAAAATGGAAAAGTAAAAGTGGAAGAGAGGGAAAAGGGATGGGGAAAAGAAATTCATCAGTCTCTGAAATTAAAATAGAGAATTTTGATTTCAGAATAGCTTGATCCAAACAGGGCTTACTTAGCACTTACAGGTTCTTTTTGATGGTTCTCAAGATGTTTAGTTTGCTACCGTAGTTAATTTACTGGAGAAAATGGCTGTCTTAATTTGAACAATTGCTTAAATAGAACCCACTTTCCTGTATGTTATTGCTCACATGTAAGTTGATTTAGATCTTTACCAATTTCTTACCCAATCCATAGTGCCAGAAGGTTGTAAGGTCCTGCTGGGTTTTAACTCAGTGGTCCTTAGCTATAAACAGACATGTCCCCAGAGAATATATTTGCAAATGTCTAGGTGAGTTATCTTTTTCCTTTTTTTCTTTTTTGGTTTTGTTTTGTTTTTGTCTCAACTAAGGTGTCAGGGAGAAAGACTTTCTTGTATAATATTAGTGATATTAGTGTACTGTAAGTAGAAGCCAGAGAGGCTGCCAGGCTTTCTAAATTTCAGAGACAGCCATTCACAATGAATGATTATCCAAGCCAAAATGTTTTGAAGAAGTTGAGAATCCCTAGTTTAATGGAAAATAGGTGTCTTGTCCCTGGTATCTGAAGATTAGAAATGGCTCATCTGTACCAAGAATAATGCCTGTGAAGGAAGTATCATAAGTGAAAATTGGATCCCATTGTCTATGACAGAGAAGCAGGATATTATGACAAAAAGGAAAGTGGATTTGCTCACAAATTTTAAATCAAAATTCACTCTATTGTTGTAGTAAGTGAACCTTAGGAGCCATAGTTCATTCATCTTTTAAATTACTGGATTCCTGCTCAGTATATTGTCTGGTGTTATGTGAAGGAAAAACTATGAAATATATTTTTTAAAGATCTTATTCAAACACAATAGCTCTTTGTTTTAGAAAACATTATGTTTTGGGGATCTAAATTTGTAAGACCAACAGCTTTTGGATAATGTGTCTTCTTTTCATATTCACACACACACACACACACACACACACACACACACACACACATATACATATGTCATGCTACTTTTCACTATAAGATGTCAACAACAAAACAATATGTTGTATTTCAGGGATTTTTTCATAAAACAGCATTAGATATTTGGAGAAATATATTAGGTTCTTAACTTTTTTCCACATGTATAATACAACAAAGTTTTTCTGATTAGCATACTCTTTCATTCAAATGACACATTATTATGTATCCTGAACATTTGAGGGTTGTTTCAGAATTGGCAACTCATGTATTCTTAGAGGACATATATTCCTGTATGTCATAATATTTAATGCAACAACATTTCATGTAGTACTCACATTGTATTTCCCTTTCCCAATTGGGAAGTTAAAATTTAGCCATATTAGAATTTTATAATAGAATTTAATGCATTTGTTTTAATGAGAATATTAGTTCTGTATTCAGCCTTCATTCTATGACCTGTTCTGAACATTATCAAGTTCCAGGCTCCACACCCCATGTTTTAGCCAAGAAGGCAGCAGAAAGACTTCATAGAACAAACTTTTGTAACCATTCTTTGCTAAGTGATCTCCTCCAATAAACTCAGCTGTGAGCAATTTTGGATCTTCACGGAAAAAATTAAACATTCTTGTGTAAAGTAATTGTCTCCAGATTTAGAATTTATCCTAAACTACATAGCGTGAAGCGCTTTTCTGGCTTTGAAATCTGTATATGCTGTACCATAGATCAAGCACTAACGCCTGGCTTGCCAAGCATAATTTTAAAATGGTTATACAGTTGACCTTTCAAGTTTACAGGAAATTGAAAAAACTCCAACCCTCATTAAGTTCATGATCCCAAGTTCATCCTTTTTCTTCTTTGCTTCCTTTTCAGCCTCTGCTCCTGACTTTTCAAAGAACCCAATGAAAAATTTAGTTCAGGTGCAGGTAGGAAGCCTGGTGAACTTGGATTGCAAACCCAGAGCATCCCCCAGGGCACTGTCTTCCTGGAAGAAAGGAGACACAGTGGTACAGGAGCATGAAAGGTATTTTATCCACCAAACGATGGAAGTTTACTTTCTTTTTACCTTCAAAGAATCAAAATAGGCTTTCCATAAGAAATGCCACACAGTAGTATTTCAGTAGATATGAGGTATTTAAAAATTGAAACATTGGTATCTTGTTCTGCAATATTCTCATAATGGGAGACCCCTGCAGAGGATTGTGATCTCCTGCTTGATGCTACAAGGCAAGGTGAGAAGAAAGACTCAGAGACAGAATTAAAGTGAAATTGAGAACTGGGATGGTCAGAGCAAGCAAAGACTTTGAAACAGCCAGAACTGCAGATATTTATTGGTTACACAATCATTTGTTAAGTCAGGGTGAGGAGGCTACATGTGGTTGCTAGGGAGAAGTTGCTGACGCAAGCAAGGTTTGTGAAAGAAGCTTCCAAGCATTCTTGCATTAGGAACAGAACAGACCAGATATAGATTGTGCTTAATGATTAACCTGTAATTCAGTTAAGAAGTTTTCAGTTCTGGCAGTGGAATCTGGGTAAGAGTCACTGTGACCTTGGCTGTCATGTTTTCTCATGTCGGTACCCTGCAGCTTTGTGGGCAGTTTCTCTTCCTTAGCTGTGGCCATTGGCAGTGGGATAACACTAGTCCGAGCACCACAACAATGCCTCTGTCAGTCACAGGGGCTTTGGTCAGACTCACTTTTTAAAACAAGCCATTTGTGGGGTTCACTCTTTGCACAACTTACACCCTGTGTTGGTTGTAATCAACAGGTGGTCTCCCGAATTCTCATTATGACAGTAATCAGTCTTTGAAACCTAACAGTAGGGATATGCCTACCTAACTTCTAAGCACAGAGAATTCCTGCTTTCTTCTGGTTAGATTCATCCAGAAAAACAAAGGTATGCCATCCCCAGATGCAGGAAAACATCCCAGGATAAAGAAGACAAGATGATAAAATGATACCACATGCAAAGGAAATACTAAAATTGCTGTTATCCTATTCTGAAACTATTTAGCACTTCTGGTATTTAATTTAAGCAAAATTTGTCTTGTATTCTGATTGTCTTCACATTGAAATGAAGAGGCAGAATAGAATTTATTTAGAAGCACAGTTTATGGAGCCATGCTTCTAGGGTTCAGATTTTCATTCTATCTCAGTAATGTGCTCATTCTGTGCTCAATAATGTGCCTCATTTTTCTATGCCTCATTTCTTTATTTGATAATGGGGAAGGTGATAATAGTTTGCATCTCATGTTGAGATGATTACATGGATAAAATACATAAATATTCATAAAGTGCTTAAATAAGTATGTGGTAAAAATAAGCATATGCACTAGCTATTATTACTATTTATTAAATACTTTCATCTTTCCAGATGTTATGCTCAGAGCTTATGGCAGCAGAATAATAGCCCTCAAAACCATGTTCTTACTCTGGACACCTGTAACTATGTCACATTAAGTGGCAGTGGCGATTAAAGTTGCATGTGGAATTAAGGTTGCTAATTAGTCAAATATAAAACCTGCCTGTGTGAGTGGAACACAGTTGAGCCCTTCAGAGAGAAAGAGGAAGTCTGAAGGATTGGTCTGGAAAGTGTGATAATAAAAGAAACAGCAGGAGGGATCTGAAGTATCAGAGGAACCATGGTGTCTGTTGATGGCTTTGAAGATTGTGGAAACTGCACAAAATTTAGGAGGCAAGAACTTCCTGAATCCCATCAGCTCAAGGAACTATATTTTGCCAGTAGCATAAATGAACACACAGGATCTTAGAACTTTCATAAGGAGTGCAGCTCTGCCAGTTCAATTGTAGCCCATTGAGACCTGGGGTACACTTATCTCCACAACTGTAAGAAAATTAATTTATAAGGCGTGGTCAAAAGATGCAGCAAATGTTTAAGTAATAAAGAATTATTACAGTAAAAGAAAAATCGCCATTAATTCTAATCAAAATATGTCTCATTTCAAACATAGCTGCCCATACTTCTTGCCACATTCTCAAGCAGTTCTGAAAGTCCTCTTTCATGAGTATCTTTATGAGGTATGTTAAAAAATACAGTGAATGCTGCTTCTAAATGCCATCCAGCAGAAAAAGAAGGCTCAGAAAACATTACTATATGTCTTCGTCTACCTTATTCATAGTATGTGGCACTATAAGACTTCTGGATTTTCCCCAAAGTCAAAATGACAATGAAAGGTAAGCATTTTGAACAGATTCAGTGCATTTAGGCAGGCATGAGAAAAGACATTCACTAAAGAAGACTTCCAGAACTGCTTCAGGAAGTGTCAAGAATAATGGGAAAAGTATGTATAAAGTAAGGGAAGTATTTTGAGGAGAAATAATGGCAAGGTATCTTTTAGTGTTACACATTTTTGAGAGGAAGGGGATATAAGTATACAGGTATATAAGAGAGAAAGAAGGTGAAGTAAAAAGGATCAAGATGCAAATACATATATATTATATATAAATATATACATATTTATGTATTCATATATATTTATGTTTGTATATATTTACATATATGCAAATATGTGTGCGCAAGTATTTATTTATTTATACCAGTATTTCACAATGAATATATTCATTATGTATCTATTTAGGTTCAGTTTGCTAATTCTGTGATGATTTGTCATGGCAGCAGTGGGAAACTTAATACCAAGCTGTACACAAATTATTTCCTTTGAACTTATTTGTAGCCAATGAGAAAACCAGAGTTTACAAGGATCATGTAATTTTACCTAAAGTTACAGATTCAGAACTTGAATCGCATTGGGCTAGAGAAGAATCAATCAGCTCTTTTGGTGGCCCTTGTCTTGTAAAGGTGCCCAGGTGATTTGAGGTGATCTCATCCTTTGAAGGTATAAGTCCCAATATTTCTTTTGGAAATGAGAGAGAAACAAATTGTAATCATTTAGGCCACATTATTTGTATTTGCTTTTTTAAGTATCATAAAGTCACACTGCAAATGACCAGGTGGAATTGCTTTTAGATTATAGGCACAGAAGTACTTTTCTATGATTGATTATGACAACACAGTCTATAATTTCTTCATTATTTGAGGAGCAACTCCTTTGTTCAAAGGCTAGTACAGCAGAAGGACAAGGGTAAACTGAGGAGAACAGTTAAACACTGTCCAGCCAAATGTGAGGCTGCAGAGAATAGATTTCTGGAATAGGATGTTATTAGTGATTTGAAGTTTGCTTTTTATACAACAGTTTAAACATGTATAGATTCATGAATGCCAACATTACTTTAGACTATGATAGAAGCTGTCTTTCTATAAAACTGCTAATTCATTATTGTGTGAACATTTTTAAATAGTTTTGTTTGCATACCTAGAAATAAATTATATTTGCTTTCTGAGGACTTTGATGCTTTGCATAATAATAAACCCACTTGTCCTCAAAGTATTGCATATAGTAGCCAGAGGACTTTAATCTTAATTTTATAAGAGGATACAACAATTAAGAGATTTAGTTTAAGTAAGCCACAAAAGAAGATAAATAATTCAGTAATGGTGAAGGTAAAAGACTATAAGTTCTAGAATCTAAACAAGTATTTATAACGTGGCTACTTAGCTCTTTGGTCTTGTTAGTCAATTTTGTGTTATATCTGAGCCTTAGTTTTCTCATCTATTAAATAGAAATAATACTTCTATAGCTAATCTGTTGGCCCTAAATAAGTAATTAACATAGTGCTATATATTTGTAGATATACTAATCAGTAACAATGGGCTTATCTTGGCACAAGCTTCATTAAGAGGTCTGCCCATAATAGCATCAGTAAGTGTGAGCAGATCCCAGGGAGCAGCTGAGATCCAGAGCAGTGTGGCTGCAGGCAGATACTAGCAAGGGCTCTGCCCCGACCCCAGAGGCTAGGGCACATCTGTCCAGCCAAAGCCCCCCTCCCCCAGAAAAAAGCTGCCTAAGCGGACAAGCTTCAGCTAGAGGCCTGATCCTATACCATTGATAAGTGCACAGAGACCCTAGCCAGAAGCCTTCTCTGATACCAGTAACTGGTATGCACGGCCCCCAGCCAAAGGCTGTCCCAGACAACAAGTACATAGAGGCCCCAGCAAGAGGCATACCTAAATACCATCTCAAGGGTGCACAGGCCCCAGCCAAAAGCACACCCAGACAACAGGTCATGTCAGGGATCCAGAAGCCATCATTCTGAACCCAGGAATTGGTGTACTGGTGAGCAACAGAGAAAAGGCTGCTCAGTGGCTTGCTGAGAATTGACGACCAGTGGGTGAGCAAAAAATTGCTTCAACAGAGGTACAGCAGGCTGCATGTGTTCACATGAGAAGATACATAAACAAGTCCCAGAACCATACTTCCATATCACCTAAGGCAACTGCAAAAAGAGACAAGTTGGAAGAATCTGATACTAAACCACCCAGACTCCCTGAACTGGCAACAAAAGAGGATCTGGAAAAAAATGAAATCATAAATAGTTTCTCAGATAACAGCAGAGATTGTGGCCATAGTATAAAGATGTGATTAATCTAGAGCAGACACAGGTAAAAAATAGTGGAGCTGAGGAACATGATGGAATCCCAACATAGGAAACAAATGGAATCCATAAAACAGGCAAACAAGGGTGTCGGGGATTTAGCACAGTGGTTCTGCTGCCTGCCTTGACAGCACAAGGACCAGAGAGTTCAATCCCTGGTACCAAAAAACAAAAACATGCAAACAGATTTCCAGATTAAAAACTCCATTGAAAGTTTGCACAGCAGAATGAGCCAATGCGTGGACAGAATTTCAGATATAGAAGATAGGATTGCAGTCAGTGACCAGGAAAAGAAAAAATATTTTTAAAATAGTAAGTGAACACAAGAAGTCAATCCAGCAGCTACTAGATGATGCATAAGATTGATCAGAGTCAATGAAGAAACAGGAGAGAGTGCAGATGCCATAAAAAAAAAATGTTCACAGACGTAATGGCAGAAAACTTTCCAAGTAGGGGAAAAGAACTTGACATACAGATAAGTGAGGCATATAGGACTCCAACTAGCCATGAT